TAAAGTAGCCTATAGTATGCTAGATCTGAGACTTGTTTTGCACACTGTATGTTTGAGATAAGTGTTGGAGACAGACACAGAAAAGGATTCTTCCTGTTATTGGTGTGCATCTAGTGATAAATTTGAGAAATGTCCTGCTGCAGGGCACACTTGTACAATATTTGTCAGTGTTACAGTCCTAATGATTCTGTGTACTTCGACTTTTCTGGCAACGTTGATAATGAATCACCCTCCTGAGTAGAATTCATCAGTTCCCCCCACACACATATGCTGCCAACAGCTGCATTTAGTCACTTTTTCTTCCCCTGAAGAAACACAAACACATACAAATTCTCACAATATTTAACACCACTGATCGCTGATGTCAAATTACCAAATTTTATAGACCATTTCGTTCCTTGTGTAGGACATCAAGCACTCATAATTTTAGTGTTTAATGCAAGCACATTTTGTCCACACCTTCATCTTTTTTCTACTTGTGTTTTTGTCCGTTTGTTAATCGGTATGTGTGTCTTTTTATATTTGTGTTTTGTTTCATGACCAAAATTTCTTCTGCAGGAACATGTGCGTGAAGTTCATTTGGTTCAACACGACTCTCCCTTTGAACCAATCACAGCTGCAGAGCAAAACACACACGCCAGAGCCTTAATCATTTTTTTTCCAACCTGTTTTGTCTTTTGTACCACCATAGCCCCATTAGTACTGTAGGTCAGTAAGCCTCCATTTATTGACTAAACTACATGTGTCCCTAATAATTCATATTGTTATATGAATTATTAGGGATTAATACTAGATATAATTTAGCATTATTATGAATATTATTTAAACATTTTTATTCAGACCAACAGCACATTGCGAATGTGTTATTGTTTTCATTTACATTTATGCATTTAGCAGGCGCTTTTGTCAAAAGCGACTTACAAAAGAGAAACATGTTTTCATTTGACAGTTCAATAAACAGGAAGGTCCAATTTAGACACAAAATAGCCAGTTACTTTATCTGTTTTTGCTCTGATAATAAGAAATAGTTGCAAATGAAGCCAAAGTTAAAGACTCATTCATAAAGACAGACAGTGTAGGCCTAGTTCCTGAATGAGTCAGTGCAGTGATTTTAAACGAATCGTTTTAGTAAATTTATTCAACGACTTACTCATAAATACAGCAACATCCTAATATGCATATTCTCTGAGTAATTACTTTATTCATTGACTCACTCATGAAGATTGTTGCTGTGTCCGAAATTGTATGTTGTAGGCCTATAGTAGGTAACACATTTGGTTTGAAACTTGCGCTACTGTTAAAAAGCTGTATATATGAATGTGTAGTTGCCTATGAAATTCAGACATAGATATGTTATCTACGGCCTCAGTTAGTGCCACTACACTGCCATCAAATCCTCTACCCCGGGGCCTCATGGGACAGTAAAGTGTCCATCAGATGCGTGCTTCAGAATTTCGCCAGAAGTATAGGTCATCCAGGAACTTTTAACTACTGTTTAGGAATACTATGAATTCAGAAATACTACTCCGCTCACTTACTGTTTTTCACACATTATAATATGAAAGTAGGTATATTCTGATGCAGGGAGGCACTAGTTTACTCATGAATCAATGTTTTGAACAAATTAGTAAATTATTCAGTAATTAATTCATAAAGACAGTCACTTGTCGCCACCTACTGGCGCATTGTTGAAACCTGCAGAATGAGAAATTTAAGGATCTGCCATATTTTTCAGCAAGGAAGTAAGCTATTTGGGAATGTGCAAGAATTCACTAGATGCTTTGGGGGAAAAAAGAATAAAGTGCAGTGCATGGTAAAACTATTTGCGCAACAAACCAGTGTGTTTATGATTATGATAATAATAGCGGCTACTTTGTCTCAACTTAAAGCCACTGAGAGATTAGGAAGATAAGAAATCTATGCTTTTGTTATGTAAAAATAAATATAGGTAAGGCAGAAAGTACTTTTTAACTACTTTTATTGCACAGATTGATTTCATTGACGTTATACTGTAGTTTTGGTCAACAAATACACTATCATGTGTACCAATTTGAATGACAAATTAAGACTGGTTACAAAGACAAGTTTAAAATCAAAATCCTTCAAAGTATCCCCAGGTTGGGAATCACTAGCCAAATCTATATGCCATGTGGGAATATCATACCGGACCTGCTGGAGCTCAGATACTGGCAGTGCAGTTTGGCATGCGCAGAGATCCAACCTTGGAAATTTATAGATGACTAATCTTAATCCATCCCTTTGACACCTCTTGGCACATTGGCTTTATCAGTGTGCCCAAGGAAAAACTGCCATCAGCAGTATGATTCATTAGCAGAGAGTTTTGTGCTGCTGCCAGGGGGCCCATGATCAGGATCCTTTCTGCCCAGAGCAGATGAGTGCATTCAATTTCCATCACAAATGCAACTTCCTCTTGATTAGAGTCTGAAAGATGCAGTGCTGTACATCTGCCTTAGACACTAGAACATCAAACAAACAATGACAGAGAACAGATAGAAAACAGACAGAGAGAAGAAGAGTGGTGGTGATTCCCGTTTCCCTGACATCCCAAAAACATGACTCTTAAACACGTGACTGTCGACAGCAGAGACACGCCAGTCCTGAAAACGAGGAAAGATCCATTCATATCAGTCTACCTACCGGTCACACATATGATTTAGCAACTGAAAAGTCCCTGACCCACTTTTACTGTATATTTACAGAGTAAAATTCATGAATATATCATTCATATTCATGGTGTTCTAATGCTGAAGGCTGGGGTTTTGTGTGTCTGTTTGTGAGGTAGTTGGGATTTTTGTAATGAAACATCTGTGCTGAATTTTCAATTATTTATCCTGAAACACCTCCAAGAGTGAGGAGTGGGGAAGAAAAAAAATCAAACAACTCCTGGTCACCACAGACAGAATCAGCAGTAAATATGTAAAATAGTAAAATGCTGTCATGTAGTTCAAGTAGCACTGTTTAAAGTAAACCTACGTTGTTATGCAAATCTGTTATGAAATCCATTAAAACACTGGAAAATTCTTGTTTGACAAAATACTGTATAAATGAAATCAGACAAGATAAAGGCTGTTTGAAAAAAAAAAAAAAACTAAACTAAACTTCAATGCTGTATAGAGACACTTTGACAATTCTCAAAGAAAATTCTTGTTTGTATAATGTGACACTGGCTGCTGAAAATTCAGCTTTGCCAAAACAGAAATAAATTACATTTGAAAATATATTAAAATACAAAGCAGTTATTTTAAAATGTAATAATATTTCAAAATACTACTGTTTTGACTGTGCTTTTGAGCAAATTACAAAATTTTACCAACCCCAAACTTTTGAATGGTACCAATATTTATATTAGGGTTGTAAGTATGGGTTTTTCCAATGGACAATTATTAAATTATTACATTTGTTAAATAAACTACTGACCTTGAATTTATACCCTGGTATCAACATCTCATTGCTTTTCCAAACTGACTGCAAAGACCTCAGTAGTTTTTAAACAAACTCCAGCAGTTCATAATCATTTGTTTGGTCACAATGATTTGTCAACTTACAGTATATTTTTTAAAGATGATTTGAAGTACTTTTGACCCATAATTTATTATTACAGGAGGCTAATAGGAGACAGCAGAATCATGAGACATGTTCAAAGGCCTTCTAGACAATTGACCGTAAGTACAAACAAATATATAAAATCATTTTCTGGTAATCAACTGGAAACAATCATGTTTAGTCAGAAACCTGGAACACTTATAGATGCTATAAATAACATGCTTTTGCACATTTTGAACATGTTCATTTTATTTATGAATGGATTCCAATCAGTCTTCAAACACTTTTTCATGTTTTTCTCCTCTAGCTGTGGTTAAATAGATTAAGTCTGAGAAATGGGTAACATGTGGTATTACATTATATTTTGAACAGCCACACTGTAGAGTCGCTGGGAAAGGAGAAAAAAAAAAGTTCTCTCTCAACAACAATTATCTTCAATGACTAAACAGTACTTTGTTTAGCATAACATTCTTGTCAAGGCACCTACGTGTTTCAAATTGCCATTGTATTCTAAGGTTTCATATTTCTAATATGAATCGTACCATGTGTTTTTAGTCAAAATAATTAACATTTCTTAGTATTTGTGACTACTGAGACCTATTGAGAAAATAGTTTAAAAAATAGTGAAGTATATACCATATGTGTCTGTGTAATCATGTATTGTTGTCCTGTATTATTTAGATTTATTAACAAAACCAATACATTTTATGTCGTTTTTTGAAAACCATTTAGTTATCCTATGATGTGACATTCAAAATTATCAAAATACAGTTTTATTTTTTTAATCACATTTATTTTTTATTTAATTTAGTTGTAATACATTTGTTTATCATAGATGGAGTTGCGTTATGCTCTATGCTGTTAATGTAAATAATACAAGAATAGTATAAACATTAGTAACTCCACAAATGTATCGAAATTGACTAAATTTACAGACTTTGGGAAATTTTAAAATGGTTATTCTGCAAATGGAAGATGATTCAATTATGTGTAATTGTTTTTAAGTGTTCTTAGTTTGTTTTTGTTTTGTTCATTTGTGATGAAACTTATTGTATTTCTGCCCATTTTGGCCAGGACACTGTGAAAGAGATTTTTAATCTCAGAAAAGGCTATCCTGGTTAAATAAAGGTTAAATAAATCAAATATTTTCTTCTTTCTTATGAAGGTCCCAAATCCTGCTTTGTGATATTATTGCAGTGACTACTTAATGATTTTCGAATAAAGTTGATCCCAAACACTGAATTGAGTCAAAGAAAAAGATGCAGCCAGGAAGAAAAATGGAGTGTGCTGAAATGGTGTAGTGAGAGAGACAGAGAGATAAGCTAAAGGTTTAACAACTACAGTGTGACATCATAGGGTCCCTCCCTCTTATTAATAATCCAGTATAGATGGTCCTACAATCACACACACCCATTTCCAAACACACAAAATCATACCACATAGTTTCTTTTACACAGAGTGTGCACTGGCACCTAATCTGACGTCACTTCAACGGACAAGGAGAAAAATAGAACAATTGTAGAAGTTTATGAGAGAAGAGGTTTGAGTGGACTGTATGAGCTCTGTATTGTTTTCTTGGAGAAAGGGACAACATGCAAGCCTTCATCCTCCTCTTCCTCAGTGAGATCTTGCTGCTGAGACTGACCTCTGCAACCACACTGAAAGGTACCAAAACAAAGCAATTCAACTTTAGATTCTAGACCAATTCTGGGATCATACATATTATTTATGAATATAAGCAAATTTGACTGCCTTTACAGTTTTAGCTTTTTTTAGTAGTAAGTTCCAAATCCACATGCATGCACTTGTGAAATGAATTGCATGCAGAAGGAAATCCTGCATGCGGTATATCTATTCTAATGCAATATTACTGAAGTCATTAGTCTGGTATGCTGTGGATACATGGTGCTGGTTAAAAAATGCAAACTCAGCTGTTGTCAGTCTGTATCTACAGATATACATAATATATCTGTTTCCTTTTTGGGCTTGGGATAGTGCAATGATTTGCTGTTATTGTGACCATTTTGAAGAGTGCATTCAAATAATTCAATGATGTTTATGATTACACAGTTAATGATGTGTATTATATCAACAATGTATATTTCGAAAGTCTATTTGCAGGTCATTGGAATGGATTTTTATTGGAAGTCAGTAATGGATTCTGTTGAAATTGCTAAAATATTGTCTGTATTGGCAGCAAAGGTCACATCAGGAGGCAGCTCTGTTTGCGTGCATTTATTATCTGTTTCCTGTAAAGCTTGAATCTGTGAAGTGAGATTGTTTGAAAAAAAATTGAGTGCATGAAAGCTGAGTGCATGGGTGTTGGTTGAATGTGGATTAATTTCGGTTATTTTAGTTTGCTTTAATGTGTAATATCAAAAATTACTTCACACACTGAATCTGTACTTAATGTGCCTGTGTCTGGATTTGTTTTGGCCTCATCACTCTCCTTGTCCTTTGTCACGTGTAAGGTGCATGTAAGAGCAGACCCTTGACTTTTGCAAGTTGTGCAAACTGAAAAAGCATATATACTGAAAGAAGTAAGCATCAACTCTGCTGCCACTAAGCACTGACCTCTTCATCCTATGATGGTGTTTTATTGTAACACACCTCAGCCTTGACTAATTTACCACAGGCCACCCATCTGTTAGGTCAGTGAAGTTCTCTAAATCCCTAGTTGCCATGGAAACCCCCGTTTACCAATTCTTCATTGTCATGTGTTGCACACACTTTCCCAGAGTAAATTTTTTTTTTATAGCTCAGGAGACTTAAACTTCTCAGATATGTTTCAAGTGAATGTAATTCAAGTTTAATACACATTCCTGGTCTCATAGTGCATGATTAATTAGTGCATGTTTCCTTAAAGGAAAATTAGTTTTTCTAATTTTCAACAAAATGTAAAAAAAATTTGCCACCTCTGAAATGATTCGGCTGACTACTACAAGTATGCCATATAGGCTATTGTTTTATGTTAATTTGGCATTGTTTTAGGTTATTATTGCCTTTCTCAAACTAACTTGAATTTGAACATGACCTTGAACTTTGTCCTCCACATAAATAAATAGCATTTAAAAAATATTTAAAGTTATTTAAAATGCTAATAATGTTTCACAATATTACTGCTTTTACTGTATTTTATTATTATTATTATTTTATTTTATTTATTTTTTTTTTTTGATCAAATAATTGCAGCCAACAAAGTATTTTATGAAAGTCTTTTAATTTTTGTATTCTACTCTAGCTCTGATAATTTGATTTTGGAAGAATGTCATGATAAAGGTTTAACCTCATACTGAAATCTTTTGTTTGCAGACTCCTGGCAAACAGAGTCCTGGCAAATCTGTGATATTGTTGAGATCTCTTCTGAAACCCTAAAGGAGAAATATGAGAGCAGGAAATGTCTCCATTTGTTTATTGATCACTGCTGTCTAGGAGAAATCATCATTCTTATAGTTTCAGATTCAGTGGGTGACTATGTTTAACAGTAAATAAAACACACATACAACAAGTATTTTCTCACTTTACATACACGCATATCTCTGCAGCACAGCAGTTTATCTGCTGATTCCTCTGGGAGTCATACAGAAACCAGCTCTGATGGAATAAATGGGCTGATTGTGTGATCTGGAGCTCTGTGCTCAATGCCAGGGGTTTCCCTCAAGCAGTAATAACTTTCTCTAGCATAGGACATGCACGATTTCATCATTCATTCTTCAGAAATGGCAAACGCACACATTTATGAGAAACAAACCACAGGGGTCTCGTACTGGGATTCTTTTATGTGTTTGTGTTTGTTGTCATAGTTCACAAAACTGGGTAATTATAATGGCAGAATATGATGTTTGTGAGGGAAACATCGTTGCTGGCAAGTGCATGCATGACCAAAACACTTTCGTTTAGACTGTAGAAGTGTAGCTTTCAGAAAGGAAAATCTGACACTGGACTGATTGTTATTCCAAATCTCTTGGCAAGAACGTTGTAGATACAGTCACATGACTTCTAATATCCCTAGCTGAAGTCATAATGTAAATGTAAGGGATTAAAGTGAATCTGATGTGATCACTTTTCCTGTGTATTTGAATCCCAGTGCAAAGACAAAACATGAGGGTGCGTATCAGCGCTGTTGGAGACACCATTGTATTCAAGTTCTTCCAGCCCCATGTGGACACCAGACTGGAGGGATACATCCTGGGCTATGGCAGCAGCATGTTCTCCAAACAATTCATCCAGTTACCCGAGGATGGACAACCCTATGAGACTGAGATCGGTACTGTATTTCTCTCTAGCCTTCTTTCATAGATTTGGTTGTTTATTTAACAGTATCTTCTCTATTTTCTAGATGCTGAGCCCAAATATCTAATTGCGGTACAGTCAAAGAATCCTGAGGAACCTAAGAAAAAATGTGCAGGTAAGCAACACAAAGATGTCACAAATGAAATCAGGGAACAAGTAACAAACAACTTGTGCATACAGTTACCCCAAAAAGTATTGGACACTTAAATCACACTTAAAAAGAATGCCATTAGATTTGCTTTTATACAACAGTTCAGGAAGTCGTTGGCCTTCACTACACAGTAAAATGTGATTAAGTTGTAAACAAAGATTATTGATTGGAATTTATCTTGAAGATTATGTACTATTACGGTCTTTCTACCTGAAAATTTCACATTGTGTTACTTGCCATTTCTTTGTAATTTGTGAAATTTACTAGCAATTTCTGAGTGAAAAGGGTGTAATGAATTTTAGCTGATTACTGACTTGTGACCTCAAGGGAAAGTGGATCTAGAGAAACCATTGAACATTGTGATCGGCTCGGTAACACAGTCGTCAGTGCTGCTGTCCTGGGGGACACTAATGACCAGCCCCTTCATGGATACCGTTCTGGATGACTGTTTTGATGAAGGGTATGTGTCCTTGAGCGTCTATGTGTGCATATCCATGTACCGTGTGGGTGTTATCTGGATGTAATCAGTTTGTTGTTGACTTTCCTCAAGATGTGCAATTATTACACTGACAGAAGATACGGAGCAGGTACAGGATTATGTGTGCAGATGTCCATATGTTCCAGAAACAACCAGACACTGATCACACACATGAATGGGCACAACAACAGACTTTAATAAACTAAACAGTAAAGAAAAAGGAAAAAGAGTAAAACAGAGTAATAAAATTAATAGATGTTTGAATGGAAAAAAAGAATTTGGGTCTGTATGCACAGACAAATACACACATTTATTTTTCTATCATTGTGGGGACTTTCCATACATTGTTTTTTTTTTCTAAACTAATGATGTTTTCTATCTCCTGCATGTTTATATTTTTGTCAAGGCATCACTTAATATGTTTATGAAGTCATTGTTCTCATAGAGACTGTTGGATGCTTGCTGCAATGCAGCTAATTTCAGTTTTTACTGTCCTTGTGGGGACATACACTCTTAAAAATAAAGGTGCTTCACGATGCCATAGAAGAACCTTTTTGTCTAAATGGTTCCATAAAGAACCTTTAACATCTGAACAACCTTTCTGTTTCACAAAAGGTTCTTTGTGGCGAAAGAAAGTTCTTCAGATTATAAAAAGGTAAGAAAGAGATGGTTCTTTAAAGAACCTTTGATTGAATGGTTCTTTGTGGAACCAAAAATGGTTCTTCTATGGCATCGCTGTGAAGAACCTTTTGAAGCACTGTTATTTTTAAGAGTGTATGTTCCCGACAATGTAGGCACAAAATAACCCACACACACCATCCTTGGTCAAGGTAGTGAAAAGCTTGACCTCAGCCCTCTACAAAACGACTAATTTGATCCCTCTGACCCATAAAAACCTTACAAATGCCAGAAAGAGAGAGAGATGTTTGAAAAAAAAAAAAGAGAAAAAAGGGGTAAGCAGGCAGGGGCATCTATAAACCTACACAATATCTGAGTTTAGCCCATTAGTGCCAAATCATACGGAGATACCTACAAGTGTAAATTATTCAAACCAGAGGTCTATTTTTCATGATTAGACTGTCATTTTAAATCTAGTTATAGAGTCTTGTTTACTGTTGTGTCTCCTCTCAGACAGTTCACAGTCCGCTACAGAGAGAAGGAACCTAGCGATACCTGGAACTACCAGACCTGTCCATCCACCAGCACGGTCATCGACAACCTCAAACCAGGTGCTCTGTATGAGTTTGCAGTCAGTGCAGACACCAACACAAACAGTGGAGTCTGGAGTCCAACGGCCATCCATAACACAGCTGGTGTGTCCCACTACAAATCATCCATTTTGCAATGAGTCATAGATTTTAATATAAAGTCTTTAGATTATAATTATGGAAATTTATTGTGTGTTAAAGCAGCACTATGTAACTTTTTCAAAATTGTTCAAAATTTGCAAAATGTATATAATGAGCGAGTACATCATGAATTCATCTTCCAAACCGCGTTTTTGTCTTATTCCAAATCACTACGGTACACTTCTAATAAGTACTTATATTTGGACTATTGTAGCCTGGTCAGATCGTCACCGCTGCGGAGTAACACATACCTGCGTGAATCGCCATAGACATAAACTTAGAGAAGTAGCTCCGGTTGGAATGTTCTTCCGCGGGATGTGTGCAGTTCTGTTTATTAACCGCTAGAGCGCCAAAAGTTACATAATACTGCTTTAACAATTGTCTTGTGTGTTTTTTATTTCTCCTATGGATGTTTAGGATGAATATCTGACACAAAACATACTGTAACTAAGAAGTTTACAAAACTTGATTAATTTTCCCCTCACAGATCAAATAATAGAGCCATGCAAAGAACTGAACCAGGCAAAGCCTAAGGTAAAATAACTGAGCTTTAAGGATAAATACTTTTGTTCTCTCGCGTTATCTCTTTTTTTTTTACTTTGGATATTGCCCTCTAAACAGAAGCCAGTCTTAGTAAACCAGCAATCATTATTGCCACCAGTTACAGGTAAAAGACATCTTTTTCCTTCCTTTACACAGTCGGTGATAGTAGTAATGAATATAAAATATGTAATGACTTTTCCTGCCACTTTCTAGTCTTAAACAACATTAATCAGACCAGAGCAGCCCCTCTTCTCATACACACTAGCCTTCCAAAGCCAAGGAAAACTTCAGGTAAATGACATTCTCTCACCTTTGAAACCAAGCAAAATATTACATTAGCAGAATAGAATACAAGCATAATGCACACCGCATACTGAACAGTATTTACTGCATACTGTTTTTTTGTTTGTTTTTGTATGTGAAAGAGTATGCAACATTTAAATGTAATGCCACATTAGCAACATACAACCCTTAGTATACGTTGACCTCCAGTCATCATCTCGAAAAGAAATGTGATTATTTTGCACTCTCACTAAAATTGTCAAAATGCAGATAAGACTACAAAATTAGTATGAGAAGTATGCTACAGTAGTTTGCTATTCTGAACATACCAGTTGTCTCTTGATCTGTAAACTCTCTTTTAATTAACTATTTTTCTCCCATATATTTTCACAACTCTTCTTGCATGTGAAAAAGCCATTTCTACCTCTCTCTAGATACAAAATAAATGTTTTTTTTATGACTACACACCTGGTTGTCTTCGTAAAACAGAGAGCCCGAATCAACATTATAACTAAAATGACAAACTTTTTTTTTGCGAAGTTTCCAGCTTTAAATGTTTAGACATCTTTAAACATGAAACAAGTCAAGTACACCTGCTTTTACTCATATTAATTATCCTTCCATGTAAAACAGACTAAACAATTCATCTGTGTTTTAAATTGAACCGCTCATACTGCACATGTAGTGGGTCCCCTGTCACAGTAATTTTCAAGATAAATTCCAAATAAATGTCTTTCATGCACTGATGGCAAGTTATTTATTTATCATTGGCTCAAGTTAAAAAATATAGATGTGAATCATTACCCTAAATGTTTTTAATTGGATGAATGAAAATTTTTTTTCAGTGTGTGTATCAATTCCATGTGCCAAATGTGAATTTTCTGAAAGATGCACAAGCTGGAGGAAATGTTGGAGGAAAAAAAACATGCATTTATGAAACATTTGAAATTCATCTAATGATTTTAATCACTTTTATTTTCAAATTAATTCCTGCTAAAGGATTTTATTAAAACCTAAAAATATCCCATTAACCTCTGAGACAGGAGAGCTACATATCTCATTATCAACAAACTGAAATCAATGCCTTTTTATTTATGTTCTTATCCTGTGTGTGCCATTTTCATTGAATGTCTGTGATACAAAATGTGACCCTGGACCACAAAACCATCATAAGGGTTAATTTTTCGAAATTGAGATTTATACAACATCTGAAAGCTGAATAGATCAGCTTTCCATTGATGTATGGTTTGTTAGGATAGGACAATATTTGGACGAGATGCAACTATTTGAAAATCTGGAATCTGAGGGTGCAAAAAAATCTAAATATTGAGAAAATCGCCTTTAAAGTTGTCCAAATGAAGTTCTTAGCAATGCATATTACTAATCAAAAATTAAGTTTTAATATATTTACAGTAGGAAATTTACAAAATATCTTCATGGAACATGATCTTACTTAATATCCTAATGATTTTTGGCATAAAATAAAAATCAATAATTTTGACCCATACAATGTATTTTTGGCTATTGCTACAAATATACCCCAGTGACTTAAGACTGGTTTTGTGGTCCAGGGTCACAAGTGTCTTTTTCTACGGTTTCATCAACAGGGGCAGAAAATCCCACGACAGTTCCTGACAATCCACCTGCCTCCAACATGGCCCTTCCTTCCTCTCACGCGTTTATTATTCTGCCCACGCCAAAGACCACAAGCACAGTTCGACCTCGAAACCTCACCAGTCATCCCAGTACAACCCAAGCAGATCTTATCACAGAGCAACATACTAGCATAACCCCACAACAACCTACAACATCTCAGCCACAACCTTCCAGAACCCAACAAAAAACCAGCACAACCCAACCACCACCCACTACAATCCAACCATATACCATCAAAACACATATCTCAGTCAAAGATCAACCATATACAGCCAAACAGCTACTGAATACAGCACAACACCAGTTTAGTGAAACATCTTCTCCTAATCCACCTACAACCAAACCACCAATTCACCAAACTCCACAACTCGCCACAAGCACTATCCAGGAACATCCCCACCCATCTAAGAAACAAGACACCATAACTCAGGACAGTCTCCATACAAGAAAAATTCAGCCCAGTACCAAGCTGCATCGATTGAGCACAACCCAGCATTCACGAGGCACGTCCAAACACCAAACCACTCACACTTACTTTCCAAAAACCACTTCTCACTACCAGTCCAGTACAATTGCACATTCTGAACAGCCAAACACCAAACCACCACCAACAACACAGAATTGGTCCACAAACAGCCATTCTCTGACAAACACAGCTTTGACTTCACCCACTACGTTAGCAAATATTGTCTTAGTAACAGACAAACATACAGATGTCTTAGTATCACAGCTGAAAACCAATGTTAGCAAACATCCTCTTACCGAGAACATACAGGAACGGATTCCACATCCTGTACCCATAACCTTTTGGTACCAGCCTAGACCCAGCACCACAACAAAGCATTCCAGCACCATTAAACAGCAAGCTAGCACTGCTAAATACAACCCAAAAACAGACTCCCAGATTGAAAATCGACAACCTACTCCTGAAGAATGGTTGCCAGGTACCCCAAAAAACGTATTAAATCTCACACCTCAAACAGCTTTCACCAAAACCGATGCCGTTCAAAACTCACCCGTGGCGGAGAAGGTAAAAGTGGGGACGAGTCTTCCAAGTCGACCAGCGGGTAACTTCTCCCCTAGACATATGATGTAGAAACAGGCTAGTTTTTGTAATCTGAAGCAATCCGGCAACCTAAAATGTATCACTTAAGACAGGAGTGTCAAGTCCTGTTCCTGGAGGGCTACTATCTTGCAGAGTTTAGCTCCAATCCTAATTAAGCACACCTGAATCAACTAATCAGGATTGCTAGAAATTTCCATTCAAGTGTGTTGGGGCAGGTTGGAGCAAAATTTTGCAGGACATTGGCCTTCTAGAAGCAGGATTGGACAACCCTGTTTTAAGAAGTTCTTTGATGTTTTTAATTTTAATTTGTTAAGCCATTTTTTAAATAACTGGTGCCAGATATTCCTTTAACAGTCATGGATAATCTAGATAGGCTAAAAGCTATTGGGCAGAGATTTTCTGAGAATATTATCATTACAATATGTTCTACTTTGTATAAGACTTATGTAAGTCTGCTTCTGTATGTCAGCTAGTTCCCAGCCAAAGGACGAACAGCTACTGTCACAGCCAACACTTACAAATGAGGTGGCCAATAGGAACGAGGGTAATGATATCAGCTCCAGTTTTTTTCTCCTAATTGTGCTGTTTGTCACCTGTCCGTATTAACCGCATAAATGTTCATTGTACACAGTAGCATCGTGATTGTCACCACCACTTCCAAATGTCATCCTGCTGGGCAATGCCATTACCACCTGACTAGCGCTGAAACAGCCCCACCACTGCCCCTCAGTAATCTTTAAACCAGCACCAGCTCTCACATTACTATGCCATTCATTCACCTCAAGTGTCTGACTACTTCATCCACTCTTAATGTCCAACACTTGCACTGTCATATAATGCTACGCACACCATTTCCACCATCTTCTCTTCTAGAGCTGTTGGCTTCTGTTTCTGGATAGCTGGTGCTCATTTGTGAGCTTCCCAGACTCATCCCTATTCAGTCAGTCAACAGATCTGTTGCCATAATCTTTAATCATTGTCTCCTTCCCATTGATGACTGTGTTTGTGTTTATCTAGGCAGAGGTATCTTCCGCAACTCTTCTTCTGTGTTCCACCCCTTGGCACGAAATGCTACACATAGACTGAAGCCTCATGGTCGTGTCACTCCTGTTCCCCCTAAAATGCTTTTCAGGCCACCCTTCGGGTATCGTAACTCAACTCTCAACAAGAAAAGGGGTATAAAAACTTTGAGGTCTTCGCACCGACACAAAGATAATTTGTCTTTTAAGTAGGGCCTTTAACTGTTCAGCTTTCCTTTCATGCTTCTAATAATGTATCCAGCCATCTGTACTTTAATTTATTAATTCATTCTGTCATTCATTTTGTCTGTCTGTTTTATTAGACTTTTTAAATGTTATGTAGTGTGCAGATTCATAAATCTGTAGCACTAGGGCTGTTTCACATCACATGCAGAAGCATGTAAGTGGAGCTGTAGTGTACACTGCAACATTTCTAAAGAGAAAAAATAAAACAGATTTTTAGTTTACGGCACTGTGTATATATTTTAATTTTGGCCATTTAAGTAATTAAGTTATATTTATTTTATATCCATTTATATCCATTAATTTTTTAATTATTTTTGCTTCATAAATCAGTATATTGCAAAACAAATACTTATTTGCACAGTGTGAATTCTTTAGCCTGTTAATATGGCCAACAATATAAATATGAATAGATTTCATGTGCGGAGTGAAGCAGGCCTTAGTCTCATTCTTAATTGGCTTCCAAAATGAACCTTTGACATGAAAAAGTCATTAAAACGGTTGGACTTTAACTTTTTTAAAAAGTCAAATACAAACATTCTTGTACTTATATTGTTGTTTTAAAGTGTTTATGATATTCTTTTATCATTTCTTATTGTATTTTTGTCATGTCCCTTTAATGTTTGCATTTAATGACATGGCTTAGATTCCTTTTTAATTTCAAAATGGCTTTGATTAAAACAGTTTTTTTCTATCATGACAGTGCCCCATGGTAAGCAGCATCATGGACTTTGGGGGTCCAAAATTCAGAAGGGAACCAGAGAGCAACATGGTAAACTGGATTTTGAATGCTTACATTAGAGGTTATCTTAGTTTAATCTCATAAGGGGGTTGCAACATCACATTTCCATTACAATCCATGTGATGTTACTGTAGTTGCAAAGTCTGGTGTTGTGTTCTTTAGTTTATTGAGTGATTTTGTAGTCCCTGTCCCAGAAAATTGTGAATCCTGTTGTTCATAGTGTTAGTTTGGATATAGTTTTAACATGATGTCGGAGATAGATGTCCCTGTTTGGTGAAAACATCTCCTGTCTAAAGAACAATTCCCTTGCAGCTGGATTTCATGACCATTCTGGGCCAAAGAAAATATTTCGGTGCTGTTCATGTTATGATAGGTTTTCAGAGTTTATGATTCTGTGGAAAAGCATGACAGTTCAGCCATTCATAAACTTAGCCAGCCTCTAATGAGAACCCAAGACCCTCTCTCACTTTCTCCATACCAGAGACAACATTGACACTGAATAATAGAGAATTAAATCACTGTCCTTACCCAGTTGCTCATCCCATCCATCCAATCCAACTCATATTAGAAAGTCTACTTAAACACAGACATATGATTACTTGAGGAAAATGTGAAACTGTTCTTAAAAACCTTCTATTCATACTAAATTAGATTCCTAAAAATGATCTGGAATGTTTTGCGAATCGCATATTGGAATAATAGACCATCAGAGAAATGGCTGTTGGAAATAATGACATTTTGAAATTGATTAATTGACAGGCTTTGGTCAGTATTATCCTGCACTTCTATTTTGAGTGAATATCCAGCATTATAGCCGTGTAGGTCTGCACTTCATCATAGTATTGGTCCCTCAGAGCTGTTCTTGGAGAAGCCGCAGTCCTGAGAGTCTGGACAGCATTAACAGATCCCTTTTGGCTCACACAGTACTCTGACTGTGCGGACATTAGCCTGATGTCATGCATTATTTTTTTTTTAATTCCAACCATGTGAATGTTATGCAGAACATACTTTACCTTCACTTCTAAATAATAGTCAGTGTGCAGTTTTTCTGGCCTTAGAGATTTATAATAATGTGAAATAGCTGTTTCTTTATGCTGATTAAAAGGACCAACACAAATTAAAAGGACCAACACAAATGCCATAGTAGCTCAAGCTGTCTTTTTTGTTCAGATTAATCTCAGCTACAGCATAATTTGGTTTGGGTTTAAATGATTTTGTTGTTGTGGTCAGGCTTTTCACTGACTCCTCTATTAACCACGAACAATCACCCTGTATCTCTTACTAATTTGCTGCCTTCTTTTACAGTGAAGACAAAGCTGAACCTAGTCTCAAAGACTAAAGAAAAGAGTGAGGACACTGACAAATAAAGATATCAAAATCGATACGGCAACAGTCTTGCTGGACTTAATGCACATGTATTTCTTTCTTTAACTTTTAGAAAAGGTTATTGATCTGAAGCAGATGGACCCAGTACCAGATTTGAAACCTCTAGCTCCACCTACTACTGAAAGACCAGCCAAACAACGGCCTTCATCGACAACAACACCACAATCTGTTTTTGAGGGTATGCTCTAATGCGAGTTATGTCATTTGTACGATTATTTTATAGAGAACTATGGTAAAGAGAACACACTGGATGCTGAAATTAGAGTGTTTCTGTGCCAGTTTCTCCTAAAGTACTGGAAACATGCAAGATGATCTGTTGAGAATGAGAGAATTAGTGTATCTAACGGAGTTGGAGTCTTGAACTTGTGGTCTTGTGGTGTTTCATGTATGCCTTTGAATCTTAGGGAGTCGTTTTGATACCGGTGACAACTCCTCTGTGTTCAGCTCTCATCCCCTATCTGAGGTGGATGCCACAGGGAAGAAACGTTTTGTAGGTAAGAAAATGGGCCTGGACCTACAGCACTGTCAGACAGAACTGTGATTCACAGTCTTTTGACATGAGTGTTGGACCTCTGATTTGCTGTCCTCTATTTGCAGCACCTCACGTGGTCTATAGAACCGACAAACGTCCGGAGGAGCCCTGCTCTGTCACTCACTCGCTCAGCTTCTTTCCTGATGAGGAGGTGGGGTACTTGAATGTCACTGGCCCACCCAAGACCCCTCCATCCAACCTTACTGTGGTCACAGTGGAAGGATGCCCCTCCTTCATCATCCTTGACTGGGACAAAACAGACAATGAGACCACAGGTAGACAGAACATTTGATTACTGTCTTTACTGGCTTAAACTATAGAGGCATTATTGAAGGAGGTGATAGACAGCTTGAGAAATGAATGGGAAAAGTTGCAATGGCCAATACGGCAGCTGTTGGAATAAAAGTTAAAAGAGCCAACTGCCTTTTTGATGGATGCAAAGTCTGTTTTTTTTACCTCTGGTAAGTGCATTAGCTGGGCAAGCCTGAAAAATACTGGTTTTTAGCATTGGTTTGAGCTTAGGAAGCAAAATTTATGATACCATTGTTTTCAGACTTTATTGCTAATTGAAATATGGCCTTAACAGATTTTTTGTCTTTTTCCATTCCAGCAGAGAGAAGTTATACTTTATGCCCATTACCTGCATAGAAAATAGCTGCCACGATGGCCGCCAAGTGAACTGGCTTGCCTTGAGGGGACTTTGGTTAAACTTACTGTAGTTGGATTTAACAAGATATATGAGATACAAAAATGAAAATTCTGTCATTATTTACTCATTCCAAAATTAAGTCATTCCAAACCTATATTACTTTATTCCATGGAATAAAGGAGATATACTACTGTTCAAATGTTTGGGGTCGGTAAGATGTTTTAATAGTTTTGAAAGAAGTCTCTTATTCTCACTAAGGCTACATAAATAAAGTAAAAACAGTAATATTGTGAAATAACTCTTTTCAATTTGAATATATTTTAAGATGTAATTTCGTCCTGTGATGCAAAGCTGAATTTTCAGCAGTCATTACTCCAGTCTTCAGTGTGACATGATCCTTCAGAAAACATTGTAATATGCTGATTTGGTGCTGAAGAAACTTTATTGTTATCACAATTGGATTCTTTGATAATTAGAAAAAAAAACTGACCCAAAACGTTTGAACACTAATGTAGTCCATTGAATAGAATAAAGCAGCTCAGACATTCTAGGAAATATCTCCTTTGGTGTTCCATTCAAAATTGGAAACAACAAATTATGTTTCTGTTGTATCAAAAGAATATGAGGTAGTTTCCTCCACCAAGGGTCTGCATGGAGAGGAGGTGTCCATCGAGACAACAAATCAAACACATACAGCTGTGGAGAACCTGAAACCAGAGAGCAGGTATGAAGACACACACACAAAGACGTCAAGTTCTGTGTCATGGACTTCAATAGTTCTTAAATTAAGCTAAGTGTAATTGCTGCACACTAACCCATAGTCCTACCCTTACAGACACATTTAAACATATTTGAAATAATGTATCATTTAGACCTGCTATGAAGCTGTTCTCGCAGTGGGGCCGTAAAGGTCCACTTAATGTTTGTTACAATAAAATACACCTGATTAGTAATGTTTGGTTGTCTGATCAACATAATATTGGTTCAGTATTATTAATGAATTTTCTCTTGTAGTTATGAATTCAAAGTTACACCCAAAAATGAGCTGGGTTCAGGCCCAGCCAGTGAACCAGTCACCTTCAGTACTGAGTCAGGTAAGCAGAAAAGAAATGTTAAATTAATTAATTATGAATACATTGTGTGTTCAGAATATGTGTAAGAGTCTCAACTAAAAGCTCCAGTGCTGAAACCACAATCTGGTCTGAGGTCATTGTGAAATAATTTGGCTCATCCAGTGAATCTGAGCTTTGTTTGTTCTAGAAGTGTCACTGGGCCAATTGTATCAACAAGAGACGCTTTAATGGTTTTTACCTGTAGAGTTTTTGCACTACATTGAAAGTCATCTCAAGCCAAACAAGAGCATTGTGTGAAAAACAGACCTAAATATAAATCATTATTCACTTAAATCGCATTTAAATCTCATTCATGCTTCAAAACATCCAAAAGGTTTGCGATCAGTCACATGTTGCGTGAAAACTGATTGTTTTGAATCCCTGAACAATTTAAAGAAAATGGCACTTATATGATAATAGAGTCATGTAGGCCAATGTAACTTGAATGAGACATTAAGCTCACAGGTGTGTGTAATTGGCAATGAACTTTTGCTGTAATGTATATGTATAATTAGCATATAAGCATTACTGTCAGCAGTGAAAGTAATGTGCCGAATGTTCAACTAATACTGTATTTCCAATGTGTTCACTCTTCTGGGTCCATTGCACTTATTTGCAATAGGTAAAGGGGCCCTTAGAGACTGCCAGAAAATAATAATAACCATGAGGATATCTGACACAAGCGCTCGAAGATTGTACATCATGATGAGGACACTGAGGACAACTCAGTGGAATTTCTTGGGGCTTTGGATTGTTAGAAACGTAAAGAAGTCCATAACATGCCGTTTCATTATTTTCAGGCATTGAGTGTAGTAATAGTTACCTGAATGGCATATTATCTGGCTTATATTTAAGGAAAGGATTCTGACCTTTCACACTTATGTGTTTTAGATGTAACTTTTAGATGTACATTTGCATATACACTGTTCAAAAGTTTGGGGATTTTCAGTAAGATTTTTATAATTTTATTCATCAAGGATGCATTAAATTGATCAAATTGAATCTTTTTTCGTTTTTATATATATATCACAGTTTCCATCAACTATCTTCAACATTGATACTAATAAAAATGTTTCTTGAGCACTTCAAAATGATTTTCTGAAGTGACACTGAAGACTGCATTACTGGTTGCTGAAAATTCAGTTTTACCATTACAGGAATAAATTGTATTTTATAATATATTCAAATAGACAGTTTTTTTTTTTATTACAATATTTCACAATATTGCTGTTTTTAGTGCAGTTTTGATGAAAAAATGCAGCCTTGGTGAACCTACTTTCTAAAACAGTAACAAAATATTGCTGACCCCAAAATGTCACATCAACAATGCATTAAGTTGCAATGAAATCATCATGTTTCTTCTGTACTGCAGCTGATCCTCGTGTGAGTGAGATCCAAACTGGTAAGAGCTCCAATCATCTCAAGCATACAATATTAAAAATAGAAGGACACAATATGCCTATACAAACTCTACATGTGTGTCTAATTTATATTGGCTCTCATAGGTAAAAATGCCATCTGGTCATCATTTCCATTCAAGGCTGACTCGTACTCCGAGTGCAATGGGCAGCAGTTCATAAAGCGGACCTGGTACCGCAAGTTTGTGGGTATCCAGTTGTGCAACTCTCTTAGATACAAGATCTACCTGAGCGACTCTCTTAATGGTCCGTATCAACCAATTACAGACTCACCAGATATTTTTGCTATTTAACTAATAAGTCACTTAGTTACTTTTTAGTTCTTTCTTTCTCCAGGGAAGTTCTACAGCATAGGAGATCAAACAGGGTATGGGGAGGATCACTGCCAATTTGTTGACTCGTTCCTGGACGGACGAACCGGTGGTCCTCTTTCACCAGATCAGTTACCACCAAGAAAAGGTTTCTAATAAAAAACTTTTTTTTTAATTTAACAAAAACACAGTAATCTAACACTAGTACATGAGATATGACGATCTCTCCTGTCTTATCAAGGCTTTTACCGGGCCATGCGTCAGGAGCCTGTCAAGTTTGGGGAGATCGGAGGAAATTCTATGATCAACTACATGGCCTGGTACGAGTGTGGGATACCCATTCCTGGGATGTGGTAGGACCCCGAGGAGCAGATGGAAGATGTGGTGAATAAGAAACATCAGTTGCCAAGGGAAAACAGCCTTTTTATGGGATGTTTGTGTACAGAGAAGGATTTCATTGGAGTATGTATCTGTATTTTCAGGTATCAGGCACATATAGAATTATTATAAGCTGAAGTAGTGCAGCAATCGTACAGAGCTAAATGAATATTACTGTTGAGATTAAGAAGTTGAACTTTTGGGATTTTAGGGAAGCAGGCTCCCTTAAAGGCTAGATGAATGTGTATATTTTTTATCAAAATGTTGCATATGCCACTGAAACAAAAATGACCACGACTTAAATTTAATGTTCCAGGGTTAAAACAGGTTTTGTAGACAGCATCTACTCACAGACAGCATCTGACATTGTCATCACAGAAAATAATTTTTTATTTTGAACCAAAAAATTGTTCACATTAATGTGAATTGTTTTGAACAAAAATTGTTCACAGTAATGTGAGGCTTATATTATATAAATATAATTATATTTAGAAATATAATTATATACATTTATAATTATAAAAATATATTTTATTTTAATGTTTTATTCTATAATTTTTTTTGTCAGCTTTAAGATTGATGATGAACTTCTTATGCATTGCCAATGTAATTCATAAAGGTGGATTTTTCTTTCAACAGTCCTTTTTTGGACCTTTCAAGTATTGTGCAAAAATGACCAGGTTTACTGGTTTTATATGGACATGGCAGGGGTTGAAAAATTTGACAATGTACAGTACATCTGTCCAGTTATTACACGAGTCTCATTTGAATGTCCCAATTAAATCTTTTGGTTTTATGAAATACTGTGTATTTTAACGTTTATCTGGGTGCAATGCTTTGCCCCATAGACTTTCATTGTAAGTGCTTTATTTTGACCATTTTTCAGAGTTGACTTTTTTTCTGTTATCGTCAGTATGTCACAGATGCTGATAACAACGCAAGTCGACTAAACCTGAAACATTCCTTTAACAGCTCAAGTGCAATGTTAAACAAGGAATTTAAAGACTAGGTCATATAAACAATTGTTCAAGATATGTAGCTTTTCAAGTAATTGTAGTAATTATACTATGAATGTCAGAAATGCAACATCTCTTTAACAAGGAAGTCTGTTGTTTTGTAAAGAAGTTTAGTGACTCATGATTTCCAGAGAAAGCCAGTTTAAATGCCAGAATTTATGTTTTTACATTGAAACTTTGATATATTTTATAAGGTTTATAATGAATCTGCTTTACCAATAAAAGCACAAGCCGTTTATTTTATGATCTTTTTTTGTAGCTACAGTTTAAAAAAAAGAAAAAAAATTCATGTTTTCATATTTTTTTATGCAATCGTCTCTCAGAAATACAGAAAAATCAGTTAAAGACAGACCTAAATTGAGGATAAATATGTTCATTCCATGAACAATTGAGCAACACTTCCATTACTTCTGTCTCAAAGTCTTTATTCACCTCCTGAAAACAATGTTACAGTTTATACAGAAATGACAGGCTTCACTGCAGAGGACCAGTCAGGAGTTAGTAAAAACCAGGACATTTGGAAAAAGTAAAGAAAACCAGTAAAGAAAACTAAACAAACATCACTTTGATTATCATAATTTTCTAGTGTTTACACAAAACTCAAGGTTTATGACAAAGTAACACCAATGATAGAAGACCAGTGATAAAATAAAATGCACACACAACACCCACACACACACACAGCTGTCCACTCCCACACCATTTGGTCTCCTATGTGTGCAAATACACATACAAACTCACAAGTTCATTCTCACAAGCATTCATACAGTCATCCAAAGCACAAACAAACACAATATTAGAATGTCAAACACAGATTTTGGGGGCTGATGCGTTGGAGACAGAGAAAACGTATAGCTCGTGGGGACATTAACAGCCTTTTACCGATACCCAGGGCCTGGCTGAGCGTAGCCCTGGCCAAAAGGGGGGCGGTTTCGGGCATAGGGGTTGGCACCCCCAGAGGAAGGGGTGACGCCAGGTGGCAGGGTGTATCCAGGACGGGGCTGATAACCCCCTGTGGCCTGGGAGGTTGGAGGCAGGCTGTAGTTAGCTGGCTGCTGAGAGGCCTGGGATGTGTAGTTTTGAGCCGGAAATGCTCCAGGCGGGTACTGGGTGGGTCCTTGAGGAGCAGGAGGTTGTGATTGGCCAGAAAACCCAGGGGCGGAGCCAGGAGCACTGGCAGCCTGAGAGGTAGGGGCGGGATAATTCTGGAACTGCTGCTGAGGAGGCGGAGCCTGAGGAACACCAGCCTGAGTATAACCAGCTGAAAAAGAGGGTTAAAAAATAATTAATTTAAAAATAAACAATGTTAAAGCTTGCTAATATACATGCCTTTGGGCAAGGAAAGGTTTTGATGCCTTTACAAATCAAATTTATTTGTCAAATGTGCAAAAACCACACTTCCCAAAATATATTTTTTTATTGTTGGGGGGGAAAAAAAAAAATATATATATATGGCTGAGATTCGATACAGCCATATCGCACGGCTACTCGTTTGATATTGCATTTATACAACAGTTCGACCGCATGAATGTGTAAATACATAAGAAACAAGTGTCTTTAAAAACACTCTTTTATGCGGAACTACTTCCATCCCAAGCCTCCACTAATAATTTGAAAATGTCACTTTAGAACTAGTAACGTAGGAACGTTGAGTTGCTTCATTGAAACTTGTTGCGCGACTTTTATTAATAACAAATGCATATATTAACAACTAATGTTGTTCAAACTTTTCAGAGAAAATCCAGCATCAGACTAATTTGAATAGTTGTTTGCAAATGACTATCACATTTGTTAGGAACAGAGCTTAAAGCTGAGCTCTAATTTATGAAGGAATCATTAGTAGGCGTTTTAAAGAATTACCAGGGTACTGCATCCCATACTGCTGCTGGGGTCCAGCTGCTGGAGGATATCCTCCTGGAGCCTGATACTGCTGATACATCTGACCTGTTTAATCACAGAAAACATGTTTATTGTTTTAAGACAACATAAATTCATGTTATTGTCCAGGATTAAGATTCACACTGTTAAGGGAGGGGATTCCCGTAAAAATTCAGGACATCAGCAAGCAGCTTGTGGATCCTAGCGAGGATATCACACTGTTACTTGGTTTCATCATCAAACGTTTGAGAAATATCTGGTACACCAGAGGGCCATAAATATTAAGAACTGATCTCTCTCACTCTGTCGGAATATATTTTAATGTGGCATGTTACTCTGGAATATCAACAAATAAAGAGCCAATACAGAGAGGCTGATTGAAAACATACAAATAGGACAGCCACATAAAATTGAGCAGATGATAGATCATCCAAACGCTGAGAGTCTGTGACAGCCTGACCATCTGTGTAGAGCACAGCTCCTGATTGAAGATGAGGAGCGATGTCTGACCAACTCATTTTAAATACTTTATTTGTAATCCAAATTAAGTAGATTTAAAAAGATCCAAATATTTTTAAAGACCAGAAAGCTTGCATTGTACAGCGACTTTGCTGACACAAAGCACACAAACAGATTATCCAAAGTTCATAAATGTTTGTGTGTATCGCACCAGGAAACTAATGAGAAAAGGCTGTGTGTCTGTGTCCCTTTGCAGCAGATGATGGGAACAATAAAGCAGAGAAAAGCATCACAGCTCCATAACTCCATGCAACCATGGCGACCATCCACACAATCTGCCAAATCTAGAATAGCTCTGCACAATTTCTCATGTGCGCTGCGTCTATGTGGAACAACTTCTTTGGA